AACTTATCCAAAATGAACCAAAATAACATAGAACTGTGTAAAACTACTGGGTTTTGATGGGTCGACAGGCCTTATATAACCTCTAAAGAATCAGAACTGCCAATGATCTTTAGATCAGACTGGGGAAATCTTGTGTTGCAAGAGTTATGAGTCCAACAACACAGAGAATATAGGGTTTGACGGAAAAAATATTAAAAAAAAACAGAGCAACCAAAAAAAACAAACTAGAAAACCAAAACCAAGGAAAAAAACAAGAAAAACAAAAAAAAACTGCGGAAAATGCAGGTTTTGCCTTTTTTTGATTTTTTTTGTTTGTTTTTGATTTTTGTGATTTTTTTTTCTTGTTTTTTTTGTTTCTTCTGGTGATTCTTCCTGTCGATCTGTTTTTTTGGTGATTCTGTTTTTTTTAATAATTATTTTTTTGCTAAAATCCACTTTCTCTGTTCTACACGGGGTCATAATGCAAGAGAGCGGCAAAAATTGAATTGAGATCAGCGAGCAGGAGCGGAGGTGTTTCGGTTTGCGCATTTTTTTTGGAATTGGGAGTGTTTAGGGCTAACAAACATTAGTAAAAATATGTTGTAGGTAGATTTCCGAAGAACCACGCAAAGCTACAAAACATACGTGAAATTTCATACGGGTGAATGTCTACAACTCAAACCCGGGTGTTCTAATTCTTTAGGCTCATTTTTTGCCCTCTCGAGGGGTGCAACCGGGTATGATTCTTTAAGCCTCGTGGGTTAGAGTGGCCAACTGGGTATGATTCTTTAAGCACTGTACCAGGTGCCTGTACAGAAGGGTTCCCATTCTTTAAAGATATTTTTTGGTGGCAAAGGGCGTCCCTTTAAAGAATCTGAACGCCCGGGTTAGGGACCGAATTCAAAGGGGGATCCAAATAGAATGTCACAAACAAGGGGGGGCCTGAGAACCCAAAAGCAAAACGACAGCAAACAAATTTGAGTAATAATTTGTGTATTTCCGCTTCGCCTCTTGCCAGCTTCTTTTGGAAGATGAACGTTATGGACGCATTCACTGCAAATTTCATTTTTTCCAGCTCTGCACAGAAACATTGAGTGACAGTGTGCAATAGCCAAGCAAGCTCATTTGAGCACGGTCATGCGACGGCGGCTGATTTCCAAATCAACCTCTCCTTTCCTTTCCCTTCCTTTCCCTTTCCTTCCCTTTCTTTCCCTTTCTTTCCCTTCCTTTCCCTTTCCCTTCCTTTCCCGTCCTTTCCCTTCCTTTCCCTTTCTTTCCCTTTCTTTCCCTTCCTTTCCCTTTCTTTCCCTTCCTTTCCCTTCCTTTCCCTTTCCCTTCCTTTCCCGTCCTTTCCCTTCCTTTCCCTTTCTTTCCCTTTCTTTCCCTTCCTTTCCCTTTCTTTCCCTTCCTTTCCCTTTCTTTCCCTTCCTCTCCCTTTCTTTCCCTTCCTCTCCCTTTCTTTCCCGTCCTTTCCCTTCCTTTCCGTTTCTTTTCCTTTCTTTCCCTTCCTTTCCCTTTCTTTCCCTTCCTTTCCCGTCCTTTCCCTTCCGTTCCCTTCCTTTCCCTTCCTGTCCCTTCCGTTCCCTTCCTTTCCCTTTCTTTCCCGAATGCGTAGCAAGGGTTCCCGTTTCACTCTGGGGGTCTGGGGGTTGAGCGTGTGTTCGCTCGACGACCATTCGCAACCGTCCGCGCGATTGCTATATGGCCGTGCCTATGGTAAGGTCTCCAGAAGGGTCATTTTTGGATGTTTCCCACGTCGCGTTGCTTCGTTTCGCGTGGCAGGCGTGGCACTTCGTGACATTCAGACGTGTTTTGTAGCATGTCGAAAAAATCATGTTGTGTGGCAGGCGCAAGACTTTTGCGACGTTTTCAGAAGATGCGTTGCAGTTTTCGTGGCAGGCGCGGCATTTGGATGTGTCCATCTTGATTTTGCGTGTCAGGCGCAACACTTTAGACACGTCGTGTTGCGTGTTTTTTGCGAATCGCATTGGCAGGGCTGAGTCAAGTGGCGACAAGGTGCAGATTCCGTGGCAGGTGTGGCATTTTGTGAGATGTGCTGAAAATTGACGGAAGCCTCGCACGAAACATCGATTTCGAGGTAGCAAATTTAGAGGCTCCCATGAAAACTCGCAGGAAAACGACGATTTTGAAGCTACAAAGTGTGAAAATTGGAGGAACTCTCGCACGAAAGGCTCGTTTTGATCCTCCCACGTCTCTCGTCTCGACTCTCTGGTTTTCCTGTGGCGTCGCCGTGTCTATGGGGAAGCTGCAAACCTTTCTTTTTCGAAGGTTTCCAAGCAGGTTGTCATGTCGTTTTGCATGGCAGGCATGGCACTTTGTGACATTCCAACCTGTTTAATAACAGTCGACAATGTCAAAATTGGAGGAAGTCTCGCACGAAATGCTCGTTTTGCTCCGCCCACGTGTCTCGTCTCGAGTCTCTGGTTTTCCGCTCGAGTCTCTGGTTTTCCTGTGGCGTCGCCGTGTCTATGGGGGAAGCTGCAAAATCTCTCCTTTTCTTCGAAGGTTTCCAAGCAGGTTGTCATGTCGTTTTGCGTGGCAGGGGTGGCGCTTTGTGACATGTCCCTTATGTTCCCTTCCTTTCCCTTCCTTTCCCACACCGTCCGCACACCACCGTTCAAAGCAGCTCGCTCCCCACGCGGTTAACCAACTGAACGAGAACCCAAGCATCGAAGATGCTTTTGGGAAAGCAACACAATTTAATAATTATAGATAAAAAAAAAGCATTCGCCAAGCGAGAACCCAAAAAAGCAAATCATCCTATACCCCATGTCTCCACCCATTCCCTGGCCCCACCCCCTTGCATCTATTTTATCGGTTAATCTTTATGCGCACATAGCCAGCCAACAAGCAACCATTTTCCATGCTTGTTCTCCCAACCCATTTCCAGCCACTCCTTTGCAACCACTCAGTCCGCAGCCGTCTGCGCAGCCAAGCTCGCTCATCCCCAGCGGCTTCTTCTCCCCACCCATTTCCAGCCACTCCCTTGCACCCACGCGGTCCGCAGCCGTCCACACAGCCAAGCTCGCTCATCCCCAGCGTCTTCTCCCCGCCCATTTCCACCCACTCCCTTGCACCCACGCCGTCCGCAGCCGTCCAAGCAGCCAAGCTCGCGCGGCTTCTTCTCCCCACCCATTTCCAGCCACTTCTGCGCCTACGCCGTCCGCAGCCGTCCGCGCAATTCTCCCCACCCAATTTGCTGTCCGCAGCCGTCCGCGCAGCCAAGCTCGCTCATCCCCAGCAGCTTCTTCTCCCCATCCGTTTCCAGCCACTCCTTACCTTTTCCTTCCTTTCCCTTCCTTTCTCGTGCTTTCCCTTCCTTTCCCTTTTTTTTTCCCTTTTCCTTTCCCTTTCTTTCCCTTGCAGCCACACCGTCCGCACAGCACCGTTCAAATCAGCTCGCTCCCCCACGCGGTTAAACAATTAAACGAGAACCAAAGCATCGAAGATGCTTTTGGGAAAAAAGCAGAGGACATGCCAGATAGAATGTCAGAAAGAATGTCAGAAGACATGCCAGATGATAGAATGTCAGAAAGAATGTCAGAGGATATGCCAGATAGAATGCCAAAAAGAATGTCAGAAGACATGCCAGATAGAATCTCAGAAAAATGTCAAAGAACATGCCAGATAGAATGTCAGAAAAAATGTCAGAAGACATGCCAGATAGAATGTCAGAAAGACTGTCAAAAGATATGCCTGATAGAGTGGCAGAAAGAATCTGAGAAGATATGCCAGACAGAATGCCAGAAAGAATGCCAGAAGATATGCCAGCTAGAGAGAGTCACAGTGGGGACCACTCGGAGCAAAGTAATTTTATATTATTGTTTTGATGTTTAGTCATTTCCTAGCTGGTATCATGATGTCCAACCACTAACCATTATTTTTCAGCTAATGGGTTTGCCGATTCACCCACACAAAGCGCCCGGCCAGCCGATTCAGCCACACATAGCGGCAGGCCACCCGAGTCAGCCACACGAAGCGGCCGGCCGGCAAATTCAGCCACGCACAGGGACCGGCCGCCGTGTGACTGCAGCGGCGGCCGGCCGGCCGATTCAGCCACGCAGAGCGGCTGGCCAGCCGATTCGGCCGGCCGGCCGATTCAGCCACACAAAGCGGCCGGCCGGCCGTTTCAGCCACGCAGAACGGCCGGGGCCGATGCAGCCACCCGAAGCCACGTGGCGGAAGCGGCCGGCCGGCCGATTCAGCCATGCGAGATGGCCAGCAGGCCCCGCCGATTCAGCCACATAACCCAGCCGGCCGGCCGGCCAATTCAGCCACTCGACCCAACTGGCCGGCCGGCCGATTCAGCCACTCGATCCAACCGGCCGGCCGGCCGATTCAGCCACTCGACCCAGCCGGCCGGCCGGCCGATTCAGCCACTCGACCCAGCCGGCCGGCCGATTCAGCCACTCCAGGATGAGCGGCCGGCCGGCCGATTTCAAATTTCAGCCCGGATTGCACCACCTCTCATAGATTATTTTGATATTCTAAGCATCTTATATTTCTGTGTATATACATATCTATGTATACGTATTACAACGATATATTCCACGTGCTTGTCCACCAATGTGTGTATGTATATATAAATATATGTGTATTTATATATATATATATATGTGTGTTCATATATATATATATTATACACACCTTATACGATAGCAATCCGAGTCCCAGACTCAGGGTTTACGATGATTCCCATCCAACAATAATCGTTGTCCCCACTTCTGGTGTCCGACCATGATTCGTGCAACAAATGGGCTGCCCCAAAGATGAGCCTAGGAGGCAAACATGGGCTACCAATTGTCGTACATCATTGGCATGAATTGTCCATTTACATCCATTTACAGTATATTTCAATTATGACACCCAATATGTTGGCCCCCAAATCTTGAAGGTTGAGGATGCTGATTACCATATTTGGGTGAATCAGCATCCATTAACGAGCTAGCCAGAAGGGTACCATTTGGGTGCCAGGGTTTTGACTCACAAAGTCAAGCCAGGCAAAAAGCAAAACGGACAAGGTGGTGAAGAAGTACTATCAGGAGCCGGCTGTGAACCATTAAACATACCCTTGTTGATGGGTTGTTGATGGCTTGAGAACTAGGGGATTTGTGACCTTAAACTGATTCTTTTTGGTCATTGAAACACATTATGTGCCATGATTGGAATATCTATTATATAACCAACCAGTATTAATATATATATATATAACAGTACATATCATACTGATATATAGATACTGTAGATGGATGGATTGGATGGATGGATGGATAGATAGATGGATGGATAGATAAATGGATAGATAGAAAAGATAGATAGATAGATAGATAGATAGATAGATATAGATAGATATAGATAGATATAGATAGATAGATAGATAGATAGATAGATAACGTGATTGGATCGGGGGGCTCATGTGTATAGTGGTTCAATGAATTGGTTGAAGGGTTGTTCACCATCTCAGTTTGGGGCTTAACACCAATATTTGAATCTTCAATTCCCCACCAATGCTTCTTGGCAAAGCCAACCCATTTTTGCACAGCTGGGTCTGCCTTTTCAACTGAGGAGCTTGAAAAGGCGCGCCTGCTGGTGAACGACTTCTTGCAGAAGAATCGCTTTGAACCAGGCAAAGCCAACAGCAGGCGAAGTACATGGTGTAGCCGGACCTACCCCTTGCATGAGGCCGTCAAGCAAGAAAATGTGTACATTGTCTCGAAACTCTTGCTCTTTGGAGCTGATCCAAGCTTTAAAGACATGTTGCTCGGATGTGTTTGATGGGTTGGCCAATCCAGAGTTACTGGTAACCTCAAAAAAAGTTATGTGTTATCATTTGTCATCACCATTTTTGACGATTGACATTTTCAGTTCGTGATATGTTTAAAAAAGAAAATGATAGAGATTTTGATGATCACGATTTTTTCTGTTTGTTGCCCATGCAAATATTATGGGATGGATATTGTATGTCAAATGTCCCACAGATGTGCTCATTGGCTTGAAATTTGCTCACCATCTACACAGCATGGTATGTTGCAAACTATATCATCCCTTCTCCCTAGTATTACACACAGACCCCGAGGTTTGCCCAAGCCCAGAATAGCGCAAATACCAGGGAATTCTGTACGACGTCAAACAACGGGAAGGATCTTATGTTCAATTATGTTGCTAGGGTGTTAACCAGAACATGTTGTTTCTACATATCATATAACCAGAACATGTTATGTCGCTTCTACATATGGAATTAACAATACAGTCATTAGGGTTTCTTGTAAGGTTTCGTAAGGTTCGAAGAAGATATCAGAATCATCATCATCATCAGCAGCAGCAGCATCAGCATCATCATCATCATCATCATCATGATCATCATGATCATCATGATCATGATCATCATCTTGGCTTGCCCGGACGCTCGTTGTGAGTCCGGGCAAACCTCAGGGAATTGCTGTAGTATTAGTACCACCTCCCATTAACCATGGCTTCGTATTGGATATCTTCTTTTTAGGGTCCAATTCCCAGTGGACCAAGGTGGGGTTGGAGTGCATATGACTATGGCAGACGGGCCAATGAAGACATCGCGAAGGTCTTTGAAGAGCATCGGAAGAAGACCATTGCAGCCGGAGAGGAGTGGAAACACAAGTTCCTAGGCCGATACAAATACTACAATCCCATCTCCCTACTATGAAATAACCCCCATATGGGCCCCCAATGCATGAACAGATCCAATAGTCAACCAGGGACCAGGGTTTCAAAGGATGTATTATATATATAATACTCGGGAGATGGGATTCGTGTATTATAACATATCATAACCAATATGGGATAAACCCAGTAATAAACCACAATTTGGAGGGTCAATTAATGAATACCATCCCATTTCCACTAAAATGGGGATGGTTTACCATGTGGTTTACCTCGGTAATACTTTCATAATAACTCACAATAAAAAAACAATAATAATCGTATAAGCGATCATTAACCAGGCCATGAACATAATATTCTAGATATTTTGGGAGCTTAGGAGCCAGGGTCGGAATATCCATAAATTGGAAGCCAAGGAGCCAAGTTTCCTCCCAAAAAAACATGAGCCAACAGGTAGTAGGGGGCGATTGCGGTAAAATAAGCCCCCACACGCTCCTTCAAGAAAATGAACTCTTAGTGTTGGAATTAGGTTCAAAGGCTTAGTCAGCTTAGTCACTCCCAAATTAGAAGGGACTTGCTTTGGGAAGGGCACAGAAAAAAAACATGAAGTCTTCCATGTCGATCCTCGAGATTCTTCGCCCATCCTGATTTTCTCAGCGTTTTTCAAGGTTGTTTTGAAACTGTCAGCGAATCTATCAGCTTGTGCTTTGATCTGGTGGTTTGGAAAAACAACATCCACCCCAAGGCATTCTCGCAATTGGGGGTATCCAGGTCCGGGTATCCCTCTAGTGAATCATTGCTGTTGAGGTTGTGAGCAACAGCCTTAACCAGCTTCAACTTCCATCGTTGGAAAACGTCTAAACTCATAACTAATCAAAAACAATCCTCCACCGAAAGGGCTGACAGAATCAACATCTTCACAGAGCATTTCACTAGTCCCAAAGCACATTTCCGGATTTTTTTTTTTGCATCGGCGGAATTTGGCGCTGGCGAGGTTGGTATACTCTCCACCACCAATCGGCTGGGAGAAGTTCTTTGCAGAGCTGGAGCTGCAAGTCCATGCGATAGAAAAGCAAAAGCAGTGACCCAGGAATGGCTTGGTTTCAGTCGATGTTGTAACGGGCACGCTTTTCACAAATAATGGCTTATTCTAGACCAACGACCTGCTGGACAACATTTCTCTGTTCTGTGCTGACGAGAGAAATATCTGGGTGTCAATATGTTCTTGCATTTTCTGTGTGGTGGTGCAAGCCCTGTATATAGCAACACAAGGATATGTTGTAAGCATTTTAAGGCAAAAAATGGAAGGACCCCGTCCATACCGGACCTGTTCAGCAAGCATTGTGATATCTACCACCCAGCAGGGATGTACATTGCATGGGTTTAGAATTACTAACCACGGTCGGCAACCGTGACTATGTGCTGATTAAGGTGACTGAATTCTAGAAAGAGCGTCCCGCGAACTAGTCCCGCAACACCCAAAAAACCAGTGACAATAGATATAGCAACCCAAAAAAAGATGGAGATGTAAAATCCTACGAGTTTAATAGGAAATGACGTTTCTGTCTTTTGGGGAGTGTACTTCACTGCTGGTTAGTAAGTCCATCGTTCGTTGTGGGAAAAGGTGGCGAGCGTCAGGCTGTGGTTGGATGCGTCGGGTCCCTATTGATCTGGCTGAAGTATAAAAACCTCACGTTGCGACGTCACAAGAGATGATGAGTAGGAAGTGACTATCCCAAAATGTATCAACATGTCATAAACTGGCCTTATCATGCCTTGTCAGGTTTGTGAATGACTGCAACTTATCATAATATAACTTATCCAGATTGATGGTCGTTCGAGTGACGAGTATGTTTAAATCCACCTTGAAACGATTGAAACCTAAAAGAAGACCATGGACCATGGGATATTGTCCAGAAGTCGTGGTTATGATGGTGGATCTACGGGCTATCCAACCACAATTGGATATCCGCAAACCTGTTGCAGAAGAATTACTAGTGGAACCAACATCCGTATTGGGGATGACGCAAAAAGCCAACGGATCAGCAGCTGCTTTAACAAGCAGCCAAGCTCTTTGAGACGGGAGCGACAGGGACGAATTGTGACGACCTTGCGCCAACGGACCATAGCGATGATGATTTACCCATATTTACCCTTTCTATCCCTTTCTTTTTTATTGTTTCAGAATATGCTGTAGGTGTTCCCCACCTGCCAGGTGAGGGTCTCTAGATTTTATGTCAGGTTTGGATAGAATGTCGGAATATATGTTGGGTAAAGTGTCAGACTAATCATATGCGAGATAGGCTGTCGGATAAAATGTCAGACTAATCATATGCCAGATATATATATATATATATGATATAATGTCAGACAGAATGTCAAAATGTATGTCAATATAGTACATGTTAGATAAATTGTTTTGTATTTATCATGTCAGATAAAATATGAGATATAATAATATGTGACACAATGTCAGATAAAATGTCGGAATATATGTGAGATAGCATTTCAGAAACTATGTCACATGGGTCAGATGGGATATATAACATAATATATGTCAGAAAAATCTCGGACCAAATGCCAGGTTCAATGCCGCAATATAACATGTCACAACATGTGACAGAATGCCGGATAAAATGTCAGAATGTATGTCAGATTGCGCGCCAGATAGAATACCAGACGAAATGTCACATAGCATGTCTGGATACACAGATAGAATGTCAGTTGGTGAGGATCGCTCGAAGTCAGTTTTGGGACGGGCTCAAGCCATTAATCAACACTTTCAATCGAACCAGTCTTGCTTGAAAATCACTCGTTTGTAGATAATTCACCCATTGAAGATGGGTTTTCACGGATTTGTAGATGGTCTATTCGACAAATCAAAAACACGGAGTCCAGCTAGGCATATGAGGATACGGCCATAGAACGTGATTAGCAATGTATACCCAGTAGAGGGCATCACACCGAGAAGCAATATTGTGTATTCGTTTTCATGACAGTACCGAATCCATGGCACATCGGAATCGACTCAAATTTGGTCAACATTAAGATGATTGGTGAATCACAATTTGCCCAGAATTCATCCTCAATTCTAAACCGGCTGGTGTTTGATGTGCACATTTGACACCACCAGCCAGTCTGGAAGATTCCTTATTCACGAGGACCGCCTGTTTCGTCCTGGACCCCCTTCCACTGCTCGGAAGCAATCGGTTTTCATGTAAATCGGCTGCCAATTTTATTTAGTGAAAACTAAAGCGGGTATTGGTTGTGCTCGATCCTTGTGCAAGGAGACTACCACTAGATTGACACATTTGTTCAGATGCACCCATGCAACTAAGTATAGGTTTGTTTGGAATCACATGAAACCATAACGCCCGAGTGCGGAACCAGTAAATCTACGCAATATAGCCTATAATTATTTCGATTGACTGTTATTTCGATGGCGTTGCAATGCCTTGAAATTTTCTTCCAAAGAAGCGTCCTGGCAGGAAATGCTGGTTTGATTCTCGCATTGGTCCAACCGTGTACATAACTGTGTATTGTATATAATATATGTATATATACTTATACACATGTAAACAATTATATGCATAGCATACAACTGTATAGATGTAACATGTATGATAATTTCAATTGCTTCATATGATGCAATCCCTCTGGCCTATGGATCCACAAACTTCCTGGCTGCTTGACCCATAACCATAGCCCAGTCATACTTCCTCAGAAGCTACGGCTGGATACAATAGGGAATATATATATTATATATATATATGTATATTGTTATTTATTTATTATTATATATATATATTAAATATATATTATATGTATATATTATATATATATATTATATTATATATATATTATAGTATTTGATCAAAATGGGGTTCCAAAACCTGGGCCTCAAAACAGGCAGCTTTGCGGTGACGCATGGGCGTACCCTCACAGTAGCGAGCATGCTGTTGATTTTCTCATACATGAACAGTGCCCAAAAATGAAACCCAAAACTGGGCCCAAAATTGGACCCAAATCAGGATCCCAAAATCCCATCCGGGGCGCCAAATTTGTACAAAGACGCAAACAAGGACGTGCAGACATGATTTTCATTCAATGGTCTTTTACTTAGCGACCTTATTCAACTGTGTGCAACAAACCAACAACTTCAATCAAAGAAGGCGGAAACTTAGGCCGGCGAAATTGTTTAAACAAAGAACATTTTAACATTTACAGACCAAACATGGTCAAGACTCAAGACATGTTCTCATCGCAGAAGATACTAAAGTAAAGTTTTATGTATGAGAAAATCAACAGCATGCTCGCTACTGTGAGGGTACGCCCATGCGTCACCGCAAAACTGCTTGTTTTGGGGCCCTGGTTTTCGAACCCCATGTTGATCAAATATTGCGCCCGCTTCTTGCTACTCTATTGTTTCCTTGGTTGGCAGAGTTCGCTGCAAGCATCATCTTATTTGAAGATGCAAAATGTGAAATTGCCGCTTTATCAAACACCTGCGGGCTGCATATGATCCTAAGCCAACATCATCATCATCATCATCACCATCATCTTCATCATTCATTCATTCATTCATTCATCCATTCATTCCTTCCTTCCTTCCTTCCTTCCTTCCTTCATTCATTCATTCATTCATTCATTCATTCATCATCATCATCATCATCATTATTCATTTACATTTTATCATTATTGGCAATTATTGGCATTATCACGAAAGCTAGCGTCAGCTCGCTAGAGTCTTCTTGCTTTAGCAAGTATTCCGGGGCTCCCCAAGGACATCACGTGATTTTTCACGCGTAAGGCCCCCCCCCTGCCCCCTTCCCCATATATATCATTGTTATATATCATATATCATATATCATTGTTGCATCCTCGTTGGGACGAACAATGCCGCGACACGATGATGACAGTCCCTCCGCAACTCACCTCTTCCCTTCCTTCTTTCTCCTACCCCGCTAGCTTTCGTCATCCACCCCCGGCCTCAAGTAGTAGTAGTAGTAGTAGCAGTAGCAGTAGCAGTAGCAGTAGCAGTAGCAGTAGCAGTAGCAGTAGCAGCAGCAGCAGTAGTAGTAGTAGTAGCAGCAGGAGTAGGAGTAGGAGTAGGAGTAGTAGTAGTAGTAGTAGTAGTAGTAGTAGTAATAGTAGTAGTAGTAGTAGAAGTAGTAGTAGTAGTAGTAGCAGTAGCAGTAGCAGTAGCAGTAGCAGTAGCAGTAGGAGTAGTAGTAGTAGTAGTAGTGGTAGAAAGTAGTAGTAGTAGTAGTAGTAGCAGTAGCAGTAGTAGCAGTAGTAGTGATAGTAGTAGGAGGTGTTGTAGTAGGAGGTGTTGTAGTAGGAGTAGTAGTAGTAGTAGTAGCAGTAGCAGTAGCAGCATCAGCAGCAGCAGCAGTAGTAGTAGTGGTAGTGGTAGTAGTAGTAATAGTAAGTAGTAGTAAGTAGTAGTAAGTAGTAGTAAGTAGTAGTAAGTAGTGGTAAGTAGTAGTAAGTAGTGGTAAGTAGTAGTAAGTAGTAGTAAGTAGTAGTAAGTAGTAGTAAGTAGTAGTAAGTAGAAGTAGTAGTAGTAGTAGTTGTTGTTGTTGTAGTAGTAGTAGTAGGAGGAGTAGTAGTAGTAGTAGGAGGAGTAGTAGTAGTAGTAGGTGTAGTAGTAGCAGTAGTAGTAGTAGTAGTAGTAGGGGGTAGTAGTAGTAGTAGTAGGGGGTAGTAGTAGGAGTAGTAGGAGTAGTAGGAGTAGTAGGAGTAGTAGGAGGACTAGTACTAGTAACTAGTACTAGTAACTAGTACTAGTAACTAGTACTATCATTAGTACTAGCACTTGGGCTAAGACATGTATACCTTGTCATTTTTTAAAACATATGAAACATTTCCTGTTGAAATCGTGCGCGCGCAGGCGCGCGAGCATTTAACACATGCGCGCGCGAGGTGCGCGAGCAACGACAGGCGTGCGCGCGAGACGCGCGAGCAAATAGAGGCGCGCGCGCGCGAGACACGCGAGCAAATAGAGGCGCGCGCGCGCGAGGTGCGCGAGCAAGGCCAAGATGTGCGCGCGTGTTCGCGCGCGCACCCGTCCGACGCGCGCGCG